AGTGTGTACTAAAAGGTCTGAGCCCTTTTTGTCTTCACATCAAGTGACCTTTCCTAGAAGAAGAAAGCACAGAGAAATCCTTTTTGTCTGTGTTCTTGTGTCTAGCATAAATAAGGAAAGAGTCGTTTGGATATTCCAACAGACATAATCTTTGAATTCTTCTTCAACAATTTTCAGCAAGAATCATCAGAGTCCAAATTGATCAGAGTCTTCTGATGTTGATCAGAGTTTTGGTGAATCAGAGTCTTTGCAGCAAGTGTGCTTTTAGCGTGTATAAGTTCAGAGCAGAGTTTTGAGTCAGATCCTTAGCACTGGCAGCGTTAGTACTCTCAGAGTCTTCTAAAGTAACTATGCTTGAAAAATCTTCATACAGAATTCTTCATTGGTTCAGATGCTTCTGACTTGCTTCAGATTCTTCTGGAGCTTCTGCTTCAGATCCTTCTGGAGACAACGCTCAGGATCTTCTGATGGCAGCGTTCAGAATCTTCTAATGGGTGCATCTGACGCTTCAGAGTCTAGCATATTTCTTATGTTCAGATCTGATTTGCTTCTGGAGTGATATTTACTTTAATATCTGCAGCAAACATTCTTAAGCAAATTTTAGAGTATATAATTCTTAATTACAAAATTTCATAATAGTTATCATCAAAACATAGAGATATTATTAAGAACCAATCTGTGTTCTAACAACGGTGAATTCGATGTCCAAGATCAAATTAACCCTTCCACCGCAGGCCAAGTGAAAGGGCGACGGGACAACATCCACAACGAGAGTAAAAGCCATCCGGGCAGACGTCCTCGGGAAATTCGTCCTATGCCCCTCAACGTTCCTAGGAAACGCTTCTGAGCCTATCAACCTCCCCGGGGCATTCATGGAATACTATTGTCCATCCCTGGGGCGTTCATCTGAAACTAGTGCCTGTCCCCGAGGAATTCAAACCTCACCTTCTCACGACCTCGACGCATTCATTCTAAACCTAGAAAACGCCACCTATAACAGCGGATGTTCGCATCCCTCCTCGGGATAGGACGGCGAAGATTCACCTCCATCCTCGGGGCATTCAACACGTCTCGACGCCAGCTCTAAGGTACAAAACTATAAAAGACAAGGAGAGAAAAACTTATTGGATTGTAGGTAACGGCGGAATGCGCGGCAGTTGTTGCGGCGATGACGACGAGCAGACACGAACGAATCAGTCGCAAGAAAAGAAGCAGAAGCGGAAATGATGAATGAGCAGGGAACCACTTACTTATACCCCAACGTGGGACTCGAAGCGTCCCTAGGCACTTGAATGCCCTAGGGTAGCCGCCGCACATGACCCATCCAACGTTTGACACGTGGCGTAGGCTGACAGTCGTGTCCCTTCATGTCTCCCCGCCAACAACGCTCGTTGGGGACGTGTCCTCGACCTATACGCCCCGCAGCCCGGAGACACCATGCTCACACGTCCTCGCGAAATTCACTCCGGCGAAACCTCTCCCCGCGCATACCTCCTGCGTCGACATAACGTCATCAAGTCCTCGCTCCCTCTCCTCGAGCTTCGACTTGGGGGGATCCTGTTCTGGACTGGGCCTCGGCTTTACCAGGCAGGCTCAGCCCAATGCTACTTGATAAAGCCCAAGCATGCCCATATCACGTACGTTGAGTACAAGGACTCTCCGTCGAGCAGACGCTACCCTCCGCGGGCAGAACCTTTCCTTCTTCGAGCAGAACAACGTGTCCTTCACACGTTCTCCACGTGCTCTCCTCCGCGGGGACACGTCCTCATCCAACTACCCACCTCCGCAAGAGTTGGTCAACCCACCTTCCGGAGATCACGAGATGGTTGAACTAGGGCGAAGACCCGTGCTGGTTTTCACTACGCCACGTAAGCCCTAACAGTCACTTGGGTTGGGTCTGACCATCCAGCCCAACTCAACTGACCGTTGGCCCTGCGCTGGGGTCTCACTATAAATACCCTCTTTCACTAGAGGGTCAGGTATTCAATTATATTCTAAACCTTCTCTCTGTATTTGCTTCACTTTGGTCCTCTCTCATTTTGACATCGGAGTGTCTTGCAGGTACACCCCCTCCTCCTTCTTACCACCGGTGAACATGCAGTAGATCAAAGACGCGTGGCAGTCCAGTGATTCCCTTCTGGACAGGTCAGATCAAGTAATAATAATAATAGTAATAATAATAATAATAGTAGTAGTAATAATAATAGTAATAATAATAACAGTAACAATAATAATAATAATAGTAGTAATAATAATAGTAGTAATAATAATAGTAATACTAATAGTAGTAATAATAGTAATAATAATAATAATAATAATAATAATAATAATAATAATAATAATAATAATAATAATAATAATAATAATAATAATAATAATAATTGGATTTAAAAATAGTGCACTTTTAGAGTAAGACAATTTTACACATACAATCAATTAAAATGTCTATAATTACCATATAATATCAGTATTTTTAAAATAAAAAAAAAATATTTTTTTCTGATACATAATTGTGATTGGTTAACACAATCAATATATTTTTCTTTTTTCTCATAATTTTTAAATAGTTTAATGTTATATTTCTGAATGGTTTGAAAAAATTAATTATCTTATTTAATCCATCTCTAATGTTATCTATTACTTTATCTTTATTAAAAAATTTATTCATACCTTAAGAATGAGTGGCAAACCATTGGGTCAAGAGCAACACAAGTGAGAAACACACCACATATTCACCCAAAATCTTAAGGTATGAATAAATTTTTAGACTCCGTCAACTGCAACAATGAAGGTTCACTCTTTATTCACGCCGAAGCTAAAGATATTAGCGTCGGAGAGATTCTTGAATCAACTTATCTTCCTGTTATTTTGTATTCCTTTTTTCCATTTAACGGAGTCAAAAACTACCAAGGGACAACAAATTCGTTACTCGCGGTTCAAGTTATAAAGTTAGTTGACGGAATTTTCATTGGCTGCGCCATGAATTATTCTGTTGTTGATGGTACCGCGTTTTGGTATTTCATCAACTCATGGGGTAAAATCTCAAAGGGTGATTTTGAAATTTCTCCAGCTCCATCGTTCAAACGATGGTTTCCGGATAGTATCCAACCTCCGATTCAATTTCGATTCCCAAAAGAATCACAAAATGACGAAGAGGAAAAAACTCTGCAAGCCGATGTTTGAGAGATTATTTCATTTCTCAAAAGAGAATACTGCAAAACTAAAATCTAAAGTCAATTTAGAAGCTGGTACGACAAGAATATCTTCTTTGCAAGCGATTTTCACTCACATTTTGCACGTTATAGTACGATCTAGAATGGTTGATCCGCAAGAAGAACTGAAATCTTTATAAATATAGACGTTAGGTAGAGGTTGACTCCTCCGCCGAAAAATGATTATTTTGCTAATGTTGTGATTGAGTGTGTGGTTACAATGAAAGCCGATGAATTGTTAGAAGATGGCGGGCTTGGTAAAGGTGCTTTGGAGATGAGCAAGAAAATTGCTTTGTATGGTGATGAGATGGTGAAAAATCAGTTTGAGAATTGGTTGATAATACCAAGTTTTAGTTTTCTCGGGAGCAATGTGGCGAATAGTAATTCATTGGCGGTTGGTAGTTCGCCTAGGTTTGATGTTTATGGGAATGATTTTGGTTGGGGAAAACCTGTGGGGGTTCGAAATAGGGGGACGAATAAAAGAAATTGGAAGGTATATGTGTGTGCGGGTGTCGAAGAAGGTAGTATGAACCTTGAAGTTTGTCTTCCTTATGAAAATTTAGAGGCGATTGGGAATGATTATGAATTTATGAATGCTGGTTAATGTTTTTTCTATGTTCTAATAAATAAGAAATCTTCTATGTTCCATTTAAGTTTTGATTATGTGTTTGTGTAACAAATGAATAATGGTATTTATGTTTTATGTGTTAGTTTTGTGTTTCTTTCATAATTTATTGTACGAAGATTCGTTGTTCCAGATAATCTTAACGTGATATGATGAAGCTAGTTCTTACAAAAAAAAGTTATATCGAATATTTTTACTTCCATGACTATAGTTTTAAAGTGAAGTTTGTTATTTTGTAATTGAATGAGGTTTTAGATCGACTAAAGACTTAAAAAAGAACTAGTAAACAAAGAATATCATTTCTTGATTGAGTGAATTCTTTGCAATTTGGAAATAATTTATTGACGAATAAAAATATTAATTTGTATATATTATTTCTAACATATTAATATAACTAATTTAATAAAAATATAATATTTTACGATAATATTGTTGTATTATTTAATCTCTGTGAAATTTCTTTAAATAAAAGTCATTTTAAAATAGATGAAATATATTATTAATCTTTGAATTTTTTTGGAGTAAGATTAATCTTTGAATCTTGATTGTATGTTTATAAAAATAAGTTTATTTATAAAATATAGTTTTAAAATTATTAATCTAATGGAACGGCTACGAATGCGTGATGTTTTAATATTAATCTAATCGAACGGCTACAAATGCGTGATGCTGGGGCATTTTTTATTTAATTGCAGCAAATCTTAGTCCGGAAATGTTTCTTTTTTTCTGTGACTTTAATGGCCCTACCCATGTTATCATGATAATACACTCTAGTGTTGTTCTTATCTGTCACATTAACTTTTTGACCCTACGCTACTACACAACAATAGAGTGCCAATGAATGGATAGAGAAAATGTTTCTCGGGTAACTTTAATTTTCTATCCCCTGTGGCCACACAACAAAAGAGTGCCAGCTATTTTATTTCGAAAGAAAACAAAATGAAATTATTCTGATTTTATCTATTACTCCATCTTTATCATAATGATCTTATTTGATCAAAATATATGACTTTATGAATATTTTAAGGGATATAAACTTTAATATGCTAGAACCCTTGGAGCACAACACACTTGGTTCAGTTTTATAAATACTCACACTGGTAAAATCTCCCACACAACTTCATACTTCTATCTAATTTCTCCACATCTTACCTACTTGAAACATGAGTTCCATCCAAATCCTCTCCACCACTACCATCCATGCACCAAATCACCCAAATGACTACTCAATCGATCTAACACCATGGGATCTACAATACCTCACATTTGGAATCAACCAAAAGGGTGTTCTTTATCACCACCCTCCCAACTTAGATACCACAAATCAAATCCAACACCTTAAACAATCCCTTTTATCTACTCTTGAATATTTTCATCCCTTAACGGGTCGTCTCAATGTCACAAATCACGAAGATAACACCGTCTCTTATTCCGTCAACTGCAATAACGAAGGTGCACTCTTTATTCACGCCGAAGCTAAAGATATTAGCGTCGGCGAGATTCTTGAATCAACTTATCTTCCTGTTATTTTGTATTCCTTTTTCCCACTTAACGGAGTTAAAAACTACCAAGGGACAACAAAGCCGTTATTCGCCGTTCAAGTAACGGAGTTAATTGACGGAATTTTCATTGGCTGCGCCATCAATCATTCTGTTGTTGATGGTACCGCGTTTTGGTATTTCATCAACACATGGGCTAAAATCTCAAAGGGTGATTTTGAAATTTCTCCGGTTCCATCGTTCAAACGATGGTTTCCGGATAGTGTCCAACCTCCGATTCGATTTCAATTCCCAAAAGAATCACAAAATGATGAAGAGGAAAAACTCTGCAAGCCGATGTTTGAGAGATTATTTCATTTCTCAAAAGAGAATATTGCAAAACTAAAATCTAAAGCCAATTTAGAAGCTGGTAAGACAAGAATATCTTCTTTGCAAGCTGTTTTCACTCACATTTGGCGCGCTATAGTACGATCTAGAAGCGTTGATCCGCAAGAAGAATTGAAATTCGGGATAGATATAGGCGTTAGACCAAGATTGACTCCTCCGCGGAAAAATGATTATTTTGCTAATGCTGTGGTTGAGTGTGCGGTTACCATGAAAGCCGGTGAATTGTTAGAAGATGGTGGGCTTGGTAAAGGTGCTTGGGAGATGAACCAGAAAATTGCTTTGTATAATGATGAGATGGTGAAAAATCTGTTTGAAAATTGGTCGACAACGCCAAGTTTTAGTTTTCTCGGGAGCAATCTGGCGGATAGTAATTCAGTAATGATCGGTAGTTCGCCTTGGTTTGATGTTTATGGAAATGATTTCGGTTGGGGAAAGCCCGTGGGGGTTCGAAATGGGGGAACCAATAAAAGAAATTGGAAGGTATATGTGTGTGCGGGTGTTGAAGAAGGTAGTATGAACCTTGAAGTCTGTCTTCCTTATGAAAATTTGGAGGCAATCGGGAATGATTCTGAGTTTATGGATGCTGCTTCTGGTTGATGTTTTTTCTACGTTCTACTAAATAAGAAATCTTCTGTTCTATTTAAGTTTTGATTCTGTGTTTGTGTAACAAATGAATAATAAATTATGAGACTTACGTTTTATGTATTATAGTTTTGTGTTTCTTGTACGAAGATTTGTTGTTACAAAGGATCTTAATTTGATATGATGAAGTCAGTTCTTTCAAGAAAGCTTTAATGAGTATTTTTACTTCCATGGAGATAGTTTGAAAGTGAAATTTGTTTTTTTTTATAAATTGAATGAGGTTTTAGACCGACTAAAGACACTAGTAAAAAGAGAATATATTAAAGCCTTAGGAATAAATTATTGGCGAATAAAAATATTAAAATAAAATTTATAGGTGTTTTTTTTAAGAAAGTGGTTGGCATATAATTTGATGTTTACAGGAACGGCTCTGTCTCACGTGAAAGAACGTGGAAGTTATGAATATTTTAGACCCCTATTTTTTGTTTGATTTAATAGTGGTTTCAGTGTCCTTAGCCTGTTTTGAGATGACGTGTTCTTGTGTATTCTCATAGGATTCTGTTTCTATCGATGAAGCCAGTTGGTGCTAAAATCTAGCCTGCTTTTCATAATGAAGCCGGTTGTGAATTCTTCTTTAAAATTGTTATTCGATTTTTTCCTTGTGTGGGTCTAAGAGTTGTGAAATTGAGAATTTTTCATGGATCTTGCTAATCGGTGCCCTTAGGGTACTGTTTAAATATTTCATATTAAAAAATTATTTTTTAAAAAATTCAAACACTTCAATTTCCAATACACATTATTACACATCATTGCACATATGAAGACACTAGTTAGCATTTCCCATTTTTTATTTATATACTCATGTTTCACTCTAATATTTATAAATGATCAGACCTATTTAGAAGGGGATCAAGGGCTGACCACACGCACGTTGTTGGACTGTTACCTGTTCACCGCTGATTAAGAGGAAAAACGGGGGTGTACCTGCAAAACACTCTGATGCCAAAGTAAGGAGTTGGGCAGAGCGAGAGCAAAGTACAAAAATAGGGTAAGAAGTGAATTTACCTGACCCTCTTGAGGAAGAGGGTATTTATAGAGAGACTCCAGCGCTGGGCCAACGGTCACTTGCGTTGGGCTGAATTGCCAGACCCAACCCAGGTGACTGCTAGGGCTTACGTGACGTAGTGAAGACCAGGACGTGGTCTTCGCCCTAGTCCAACCGTCCTATGATCTCCGGAAAGTGGGTTTGACATGCTCTTTCGGAGGTGGGCAGTTGGTTGGTGACGTGTCCCCACGGAAGGGGGCACGTGGAGAACGTGTGAAGGACACGTTGTTCTGCCCGACAAGAAGAAGGTCCTGCCCGCGGAGGGATAAGGTCCTGCCCGCGGAGGGGGAGAAGGTCCTGCCCGCGGAGGGTAAGCTCCTGCCACGGAGGGGGAGAAGGTCTTGCCCGCAGAAGGTAAGGTCATGCACGTGGAGGGGGAGAAGGTCCTGCCTGTAACACCCCACTTCCCCGTATTAAATAAAATATAAATATTATAATAATAATCAGAGTTTTCACCAAAAAGTGGGATATCACATCTCCAAATTTTATAAAAATACTTTATTCATTCTTTTCAAAATAATACAGCGGAATTTGTTTAATAAAATAAAATACATCAAATTCATGATACGTCACAGGATTACAATAAGTTTGACATGAAACAGTTAAAACACCCATATCCCGTGTTACGTATCAGAGCATCCTACGACTCGACTGTCACACCACTATCCAAGTTAGCTAAGCACCTGGATTATCTGTACTTTCGAAGAAGCACAGACCACAACAACAACAAAGGGGTGAGAAATAATGATCAGAATATAATGGTAATGTAATACATGTAACTAAGGTAGTAAAACACACCAACACACCAATATTCACCCCCAACAACTCCATATGACGAACCTACTGTTCAAATTACAATATAACATATTATAATGCAAATATGCAACTCAACACCATGCATGCGGTACCGACTCATTGGTTCATTCAATCGAACCCACCATTCTTCACAAAGGAGTACGGGTGAATCACTTACGCTTCATCCGAGACATGATTCGACCCCACCATTCTCCACAAAGGAGTACGGGTGAATCACTTACGCTCCATCCGAGACATGATTCAACCCCACCATTCTCCACAAAGGAGTACGGACAGATCACTTACGCTCCATCCGAGACATGATCCATCCCACCAAGACACCATGATATGCACACACCAATGCATAACTATTATGTTCAGGCACACTAAGTGCGCACGATCCACCTGATCGTATCATTATACATCACATATATATGCATAGATATAACATGCATCAACACCATATAAATCAATCAGTTAGTAACAGGTTCATATTCCATTACCAAGATACAAACACATCCCACAACTCGGGGATACACGATACTATTGATCACTACATACCTATACATCAACTAATTGTCCACCAGTCATTATTACGGGAAACATGCACTATCACCAAGTACACCAGTTAGTTCCCACACTCATCATTCTTACAGTGCATCAAGGCCAAACTGTACCTATCATCTCAACTCAGATCCTCAGTCTATTCTAGTACCAATCTTGCACATTACCGTAACCAATAGGCTTCTAATTCCTATTCCCAAAATCATCACCTACACATTCTATCGATACCTCAAAAGCCATACAGAATTTTCCCTAAAAACTGTAAAACACCCTATATGCCCTATATGCCAAATCATCCCAAAACACCAATTCATTAACATTGACTTATACTCCATCACTATCAATTACTAGTTATCATCAAACACAAACACACCAATAAACATTATACTTACCAACTATCCTATACTTCCTACTCCAGAACCAACATTACGGTACATTACCGACACTTCAGAGTCACTCTGAATCTCACCAAGGTCCTAACCATAGTCATTAACGACACTATAGGGAAACAACACATAATTTTCCCCAAAGCTATAATCAGGGTCATTACCCACACCACAGTAACAACACAGAATCTCACCAAAACTCTATTTATATTTACTATCAACACTGCAGTAACAACATATAATTTTCCCCAAAGCTATAATCAGGGTCATTACCCACACTACAGTAACAACACATAATCTCACCAAAACTCTATTTATATTTACTATCAACACTGTAGTAACAACATATAATTTTCCCAAAGCTATAATCATGGTCATTACCCACACTACAGTAACAACACAGAATCTCACCAAAACTCTATTTATATTTACTATCAACACTGCAGTAACAACATATAATTTCACTAACATCACCATAATATATATACACCAAATTCACCAATACCAATCAACAATTCATCAATGTCAAGCATCAATTTATCATCAGCAACAATAATAACAAGCATGCCAATATAAAACTTCATGGATCGGAATTTTCCTACGGGGTTAAGGAATCCCCTCTACCCTATACATATATATACCATCCCAATCAAGTTTCTCCCCCCTTACCTTGTTAATCGGTTGATCGATGAAAGAATCCTCCAAGGTTTGGCCAATTCTGATTTTCCCCCGTATCCTTCGTTCTTCGCTCCCTTTTCCGTTCTCTCCTTTCTATCGTTCTTTTTCCACTTTCTCTAACTTTCCACAATGTATCGTAAAACTAATGACCCCTCAAATTCCCTATTTTAATTCTCTAATCCCAATAATAATAATAACTAATAAAATAATATAATAATATTACTAATATTAATAATACTAATCATAATAATACTATTAATAATAATAACAATAATAATAATAATGTTATTATCTCACCAAAATACTAATAATAATAATAATGAATATAATAAATATAATAATAATAATAATACCCCCACCAATATTACTATTAGTTATTATATTATTATATCTACACCAATTCACCACCAATAATCCTCCCATATCAGAGACACCCACCAATAATAATATTCATACCGATGATAATAATAATAATAATAATGATGATAATAATAATAATAATAATAATAATAATAATAATAATAATAATAATAATAATAATAATAATAATAATAATAATAATACCACAAATATTACTATTAACTATTATATTATTATCTCCACACCACCAATGATCCTTATATATCAAGGATACTCACCAATCACATACCAACACACCCCACCTAAGGGCACACCAACATAAAATAATTAAATTAACACCAAAATAACTAAATAAATAAAATGGGTGTTACAACTCTCCCCCACTTTAAGTATTTTCGTCCTCGAAAATTACCTGATGGAACACTTCCGGATACGCTTCCCGCATCCTTCATCCCAACTAACAGGTCATACTGCCTTCTGCAGCACCTCCCCAAGTTACTTTCACCAAAGATATCTCCTCCCTTCGGAGTTGTTTCTCGCTCGTCCAAACGAAATAGCAATGCCTCAACAATCAAATTATTTTCACTTGTACATCATCCACCTGGTTCAATGTACTTTCTCAACTAAGACACATGAAACATATCATGCCAATTCATAGCGACAGCGGGAAAAACGGTCTAACATGTTACTCCTCCCATGCCTCTGCTGCGCCACTCTGATACAAACCACAGAACACGGTGCGAACTTCTGAGACTTCGAAGCTCGACCAACATCAGTCACCGGCGTGACTCTCCAAACATATCTTTCCTTGGATCCTCTTGATCTTTTCAGCCATCTCCACATAATTTTCAGGTCTGAGCACAACACTCTCACTCGACCCATTCCAACACAGTAGAGTCCTACACTCCCTATTTCACCAAGCCACATATAGTGCCATTCCGACACTAGGATGGTAACCGTTATTATAGGTAACTCAATCAACGGTAATTAATCATCCCACAATCCACCTCGATCCAACACCCAAGCTCTCACCAATTCTCTACAGACTCAATAGTCCTCTCTGACTGACCATCAGTTTGCGGATGGTAAGTCGAACTCAACTTCAACTTAGTACCCGATGCTTCCTG